ATCTGTCTGGTGAGGCCGCCTCTGCCCCTGCCAGGCACGCAGGAGCGGAGCGACGGCACCTGCCTGTGCTTGGGCCGCCGCCAGCTGCTGCTGCCAGTGTTCCCGCAAACCCATGTGCAGGGGCTGACCGCCTGCTGACCGGCTGCTGCCGGGCGCTGCCGCTGCCGCAGATGACCCGCGCAACGTGCCGGAGGGCATGGCGGAGCTGCGTGTCGTGCCGGGCACCCAGGTAGGCCTGCCTGCAGCGCTTCCCTGGGCACCCGTCACGATGGCCCCCGCCACCACCACCCTGCCCGCCGATGCCTGCCTCACTGCTGCCGCCGCCTTGTCCTGGCGCCTGCAGACCAACAAGGTGGTACTCAGCGTGGAGTTTGTCACGCCCAGCACCGACCAGCAGGCGCTGTACGAGGCGGTCGCGGCCAAGGTGCGGGACGGCGAGTTCCAGCGCGACACCGCCGAGGCGCAGTACGGGCTGCTCAGCGCCAGCGTGTTCCTGTCAGCGTACACCAACAAGCTGTGAGGCGTGGAGCACGTGTGCCCCCCCCCGCAGCGCCAGCTGCACCCACCATCACTGCCACCCAGCCGACAGACCAGGCCAGCCGCCAGCTGGCAGCCAGCCCCCCAGTCAGGTAGACCACGCAGCCATGACCCGACTCGGATGCTTCCATCAGACACAGACGCATGCTACACAGAAGACCAGCAGCCTCAGCAGCTCCCACCTCCATCCATCCCTGCCGATTTTGTACCACCTCTGATCTGTCGTGGTTACTCTTGCAAGAACTTGAAAATTGCTCACTACGCAGCGCTGGTGTAATCAATGTCGCAGCTCAGAGGTGCAGCCTTGGTAATAGAATACGAGTAGAATAGCATCCGATGCATGTCAGAAACTGAGGTAGTCTGGATGGCTGAGTGGGATCAAAAATGGCAATGGCGGCTCCCCCGCAAAGTGCGCCCGGCAAGGGGCAGGCTGCCGCGGCTATATGAGAAAATCGGGGTAGGCGTACACGGCGTGCAGGTCGGCGCGGAAGTCCCAGGCGCGGATGCGCGGCGTCAGCGGCGAGCCGTCGGCGATGGCGCCGCCCTGGATCGCCGGCGGCGCAAAGGAGAAGACCTGGCCGTTGCCCAGGTACATGGCCACATGCCTCAGCCTGGCGGGGGTGCCGTACATCAGGAGGTCTCCCAGCTGCGCCTTGGTGTGGTCGGCACGCTTCCACACCACGTACGAGGGCTTGGCGATGAGGTAGGTGGTCACCGAGCGCGGCGTGCCACGCGCCGCCAGGCTAGCCAGGCTGCCGCCCAGCCAGCCCAGGCGGTTGAGCTGGTCGGGGCCCTTGCCAAACGCGGCCCAGTACATCCACGTGATGACCGACACGTCATCGCCGTGGGGGGGCACCGCCGGCGGGCACACGTGGCCCGCGATGCCGCTCCACCGCGCAGGCCACTTGCTGGTGATGTTGATCTGCTTGTCGGCGGCCACCATGTCGGTGGCGATCTTCACCAGGCCCGCGCGGGTGCGGGTCACGCTGGGGCACTTGCGCAGGTCATGGGCTGCGGCAGGGAGCACGGGAGGGGGCGGCAGGGGGCAGGCGATGAGGGAGGGGCGTGGTGGGGCCAAGCGGCTGGGCCGAAGGCAGGGCGCAGCACCGGCACCGGGCGCCTGGCCGCCCCCCGGCAAGCGCTCCCGGCAAGCGCCGGCTGCACGCCCCGCTGCCGCCGCGCCGCGCCGCGCCGCGCACCTGGCCGGCACAGCAGGCGCATCTGGTACAGGCCTCCCACGCCCGTCACGCGCGTCACGTCCTGGCCGCTGGGCCCAAACTTGGCGGACGGGGTGTAGCAGGTGCGGGTCGCCTGGGAGTACCATCCGATGCGGAAGTCGCCCCCGCCGACCTTCCGGATGCGGCAGACGGAGGGGTCCTTGGCGGCGGCGGAGGGCCCCGTGGCGCACACCTGCGCCTCCTTCCACGACAGCTTGATGGGGGCGGGCTGGCAGCCGCAGCGGTAGCCCTGGCCCTCCACCAGCACGTTGCCGGCGGCCTGCAGGCGCCACAGGCAGTAACCGTAGGAGTAGCTGCCTGCGGGGAGGCGGCAGGCAGCGGGAGGAGGCAGGGTGGAGCGTGGACTTAGTAATGCACTCTGGGTTGCAGGGGAGCAGAGAAGTAAGGGGCTTGGCGCGGCTGCCGGCATCGTGCAGCCTGGGCTGGCATCCAGCGTGGCAGGCGCAGGGACCAGTGTGTCCCGTGGCTGCGGGCGTACCGTAGTATGTCTGGTCTCCGCTTTTGATGGCGCACAGGGACACGCTGGGCACGCCGCTGCCCAGCACGACCCTGTTGTTCTGGGTGCAGGTGTAGGGGCAATCGGCTATGCCCTTTGCCATAGTGACTGCACAGCGGGGTGGGGGCCGCGCCAGCGCACAGCACACTCAGTGGGCTGATGCCGTGTGGCGATGCGGTACGGCCCTGGATGGAGGCGGGAGGCCAGGAGCTGTGCCAGGCAGCCAGGCGGGCAGCCAGGCGAGCAGGCGGCGGCGGAGGGTGCCACTCACATGCAATGGGCTCCACCAGCATGCGCCGCCCAGCCTGCCCCTGCTGCGGCGCCTTGCACAGGACCTGCATGTTGTAGGGCGTGGAGGCGCCCACGCCGGCCACCTTGCTGACAAACGCGCCACCGGCGCCAAAGCGCACGGGGTAGGTGTGGCAGGCCCCCGTCTCGCTGGAGATCCAGCCGATCTGGAAGTCGCCGCCGCCGTCCTTGCGGATGCGGCAGACGGCGGGGTCCATGGCGGCGGCCGCGCCGCCCTCCACGCACGCCATGCTGGCGTTCCAGGTCAGCGTGACCGCGGGGCTCCTGCAGCCGCAGAAGTAGCCGTTGGGCGCCTTGAAGCTCTTGTTGATGGCGCCGAAGAAGGCGTGGCAGAAGCCCTGGCTCCAGGTGCCTGCGCCAAGGGTGGCGCCAAGCAGCAGGGGACATCAGGCCTCGCCAGCAGCAACAACAGCAGAAGCAGCCAAGCGGCAGCGAGGGCATGCCAGTGGCACCGGGGTGCAGGAGGCCGAAGGCTCACCGTATTGGTAGGGCCCTGGGCTGCCTCCAAGCGCGCACATCAGCTTGCTGGAGCCGCCGTGCGTGGGGATGGGGACCAGCCCCCTGATGGAGCACTCCTGGGGGCAGTTGATGCGGGCTTCCGGCAGGCTGACTGCAGGGGCAGGGTGCAAGAAGAGCGGTGGGGCGGTCTAAATGGATAGGGGCACTGTGCCAGCAGCCATCTTAGGGGGGGAGGGCATGCAGGCGGGTGGCAGCGGCAGCCGGGAGTGCTCACATGGCGGCCCTGGCCCTCCATCAATTCCGCCTGGCACCTCCTGCAGCGACCTATGGGCGCCAGACCCTGCACAGCACACCGGCCAGCCACGAGACTGTGATCCTCCTGGCATGGCAGGCACACCGCTCACTCCATCTCTCAGCTGGCAGCGGATGGTGGCACACGTCCCACCTGGCACCCAGATGGGCTCGGAACTGGCCGCCGCCATGCTGCCGCCGCAGAGCAGCAGCAGGCACAGGCAGGCGGCCAGCTGCCACAGCAGCTGCGCTTTCATGGCGTGGAGTAGAATTGCGTGATGAGACTGCAGGGGCAGGAGAGGCAGCAGCCTACTCAGCAAGCTGTGCTTCTGTAGCAGCTACCGGCGGCACGGGATGTCATGGCGGCAGCGGCCGCCGGAGGCGCATCAAGGCGCAGCTGAGCAACCGCAAGGCGCCTTTCTCTGGTCAGCGAGACCAGCCAACCCACATGTCTGGGAAGAGCTGAAGTAGAGGCGGGGCGCGTGATGGGAAGGGAGGTGCTGGGAGGTGAGGGGCGTGGACTACCCGTGGAGGCGTCGGGAGGGCGCTGGGGGGATTAAATGAAAAGTAGCTTTCGCTTCTGCCCAGAGTGCTCTGAAAGAGGCAGTTCCTGCAGTTCCCCACGACACCTTCAGGGCAGCTTCCCGCCCCCACCAAGGCTTGGGAGCTACGCTACAGTAGCTCCTACTTACCCTGGGCGGCGGGGCCGGCGGCGGCGGGAGGCACCTTGCGCTGGACCTCATTGGTAGCCTACCTGCTGCAGAAGGACCAAACCTGCCACCTGAGTAGAGTGCGCCACGCTTTCATTCGGCAAGCAGAGCAGGGCGGCAACAGGCTTTCGCCACCGTGGCGGCAGCACAGCCCGCTCTACTCCCAGGCCTGCCTTTCCGCTGGGGGGTTGACCCTCGCTCATGATTACAAGACTGGGAGCAGGAAGGAGCGTTTTGAAATCAGGACAGTGGACGGACAATGGGTTCAGCGAGTGGCGGCTGTGGAAGAAAGAATGGGCCGTTGTGCACACAGCCTACTCGCCCTTGACGGGCAGCCGGAGGGTGAGGGAGAGTGCCACGTAGGCGGCGGCCAGCTGCAGCAGGATGGAGGCTAGGCCCGACCCCACCACCAGCCGCTCCCCCGCCGTCTCCTTCACGCAGTGCTCCGGCAGGTTGACCAGGAAGTCGGCACCCTGGGCCTCCTGCTGGTGCAGGTGCTGCGGGCAGGGGACAGGCAGGCAAGGGCACCGATAGGCACGGTCAGGACTGGGCAGATGGCGACAGCCACGGTCCTCCGCGCTCGAGCAACCCAGCCGGCCAGGCGACACCAGGCCAGCCACACACAGCCCCCACCTTTTCAAACTGCGCGTTCCAGCGCTCGCGCTGCTCGCGCCGCCGCGCCTCCATCTGCTGCAGCGCCTTTGGCGCCTCGCCCACCAGCAGCGTGGAGTAGCTGTCGGCCTTGCTGCGCTCCAGCGCCGCCTTCATGTTGTACAGCTGGATCCTCGCCTGCACCAGCTCCCCGCTCTCCGCGCTGTCGCCGGGGGCCGCCGTGACGTCGGTCAGGGCAGCCAGCAGCTCCTGGTACTCTGCAGCAGGCAGGCGGGGGCAGGGGGCAGGGGGCAGGGAGCGGCGCCTTCAGCACACACGCCAGAGCGCACCGTTGCACGTCCAGGTTGCACGGCTCAGGTGCAGCTGCCTTCAGCACCCCGCCCAGGCGCCGCCCTTTCCGCACGCCAACCCCCTCGGAACATGGCGTCCCTCCCTCCCGCACCCACCCTCGAAAGTGATTTCATCGTCCTTGTTGGCGTGGTGGCGCTCGATGCGGGCCATCACCTTGTCGGCCAGATCCATGCGCTGCCGCAGCACAGCCTTCTCCTCCTCGCTCAGGCGCTGCAGCCAGGCGTGGGCGGCGGGCAGGCCGTGTCAGTGCAGGCGTGCGGTCAGTGCTGGCACGCGACGCAAGGCTCCCAGGTCCTGGGCCAAAGGCACAGCTGTGCCTGCAGGTTGGGCCCAGCTGCTGGCAGGGCGCCCCGCGATGGCTGTGCAGCTGCGGCCCCTGCTGCGCGCCAGCTGCTGCCAGCCAGGGGCTCACCCCGATGGTCTCTGCGGTGATATTCGGGTTCTGAAGCACGCTGGACAGCAGGTCCTCCGCCCTCCTCTTGATCATGTCCATCTTGGACCTGCAGGCGGGGGCGGGCGGCGGGGCATGGTGAGGCAGGAGGCAGGCAGGGGGCAGCTGCGGGTGCCCCTAGGTCTCCCAGCCCAGGCAGAGGCAGCAGGCGGCCTTCCCCGCAGGCTCACGGGCGCAGCGTGCTGCGCCACACGGCCCTGCCCGTCCACCCACCTGATGTACGCCAGGTCCGTGTTTTTAAGCTTCTGCTGCTCCTCCCGCAGCTCCACATGCTTGGCGGCGCCCTGCATGAGCAAAGGGCGTGCAGGGGCACCCCGGTTGGCTGTGATCAAGGGAGCAGCGCAGCTGCACTCGAGCAGGGCTCCCGGCCCCTGCCGTGGCCTCCTGCAAAGCCACGCCCCCTTGCTGCCACCGCCACCTGGGCGACCCAGCCCGCCCCCCACCTGCTGCACCGTCGTCAGCGTTTCTTCCAGCTCATTCAGGCGCCCAAAAACTGCGACCATGGCCTCCTGCTGAGCGACGGCGGCCACGCTCTTCTCCGTGGCACGCCCCCGGTGGTACTGCAAAGCAGTACGGCATGGAACGCGGGTGAGCTGGGGCACCGCACAGACAGCTGGCAGCAGCTGGCGTCGCCGCTGGCGCAATGAGGCAGCATGGCTGCGCGCCAACGCGCGGTCTCCACTCACCAGCTCGGCTAAGGCGCAGTCGACTGACACATCCCTCACCGTCTGCGCGGCAGCGCAGCAGCACCGTGAGCGCGGCGGCAGCTGTGGTCGAGTGCGGGCAGGCCAGGCTCGCGGGCAACCTGTACCATACACACACACCCCTCTTCCCCCTCACCTCACTAATCATATTGAAGGCAAGAAGAATGCCGATCAGGCTGGCAACCAGCTGCAGATTCACTATGTTAGCGGAACGGCGGCGCCCGCCCACGTAGCCCGCCGCACCCGACACGACCAGCACCCCGCCCAGCGCCATGCCGCCCATCTCCGTGAACTGGTACAGGTAGCGCCAGGACAGCAGGAAGACGGCCAGGCCCAGCGCCACGGCGGCCAGGGAGAGGCGGCGCTCCGCGGCCGCCCACTTGGCGGCGCCTGCACAGCAGCCGAGCGTGCAGAGGGGTGGGTGGGACGGGGGAAGGGAGGAGGCCAGCGGGCACCGCCAGGACGCAGCACCCCGTGTGTGTGGGCGGCAGCCAGCGCCCGCGGCTTGCCTCGTCCGCTGCCCACGTCGTCGGCGAGGAGCAGGCCGCGAGGCAGGGCGGGCGCCGCCGGGTAGCCGGCGCTGCGGGCGGCGCTGCCGTTGAGCCCAAACATGGCTGCGGCGCGGTGGCGGTGCAGCCGCGTCCAAGAAGCTTGGTGCAGGCAAGCTCTCTGGCCTGCGGGGCGTGTACACTGGCGCTCCTGCGGCCGCTGGCAGGTGTGCCTTGGGGGTGGCGACCCTGCCAAGGCAGAGGCAAGCGAGGAGTGGAGAGTGGAACTCTCGTGGGTGGCTACTGGATTGATTGGATTTATTAGGGATCAGCGGCGGCAATCACAGCGAAAATGCACTCCACGAGGCTTCACACGGCTTCTTGAGGGTGGGGTGGGATGAGCTGGCGCGCATGAACTGCCTGCTGGCCTCTTGCCTCGGCATTTCGTCCGTTCCCCGCCTCCCACATTGATCAGAGGCAGGCTACCCAGCCACAGACTCCTCCGCCGCGCGGACGTCACCCCCACCCTGCTGTAGCGCAGGTGATCACGCTGCCTGAGCCCTTCCAAAGGTGAAACCTGGTGTTGCGTGGCTCGGACGGCTTGCCGCTGCCAGCCAGGCATGCGCCGCCACCGGCGGCGGCGGCGGCAGCAGTGGTGGCGGCACGCGCGTAAGGAGAGGTTGCGGCAGAAGCATTGGTGTGTCGCTCGCGGGGACGAAAGCTTCCGCACAAGTTTATCTCGCCTGCCGCTGCGTCGCAGGAGTCTCTCTTCGAGCCATGGAGGTTGATAGGGCGGACCTCATCTATCATGAAAGCCAGACGGCGGCCCTGTGCGGGGTGAGGGCGCCCTGGATCTCATGGCTGCATCTCCGGGGGAGGCGCCCTCCTAGCTGCCGAGCTCCTTCGAACCCCCGCCCCTTCCCGCTCCTCGCCCCCGCTCCTCCCTCCCGCCCGCGCAGGTGCATGCCGTGAACGCCGTGCTGCAAGCCCCGCACTTCAGGCAAGCCGGAGCGCTGCCCCGTGCCCGCTCATCTGGCACACTGTTTCCCCTTGCCGCTGCCAGCGCCAGCGATGTAATAGCAGTGTAGCACATCCCCCGCTCGGCTCCTGCCCTGCCCCACGCTGTGCCGTGCTGTGCAGTGAGGTTGAGATGGCGGCCATCGCCCAGGAGCTGGATGCGGCGGAGCATGCGCTGATGGCCAGCGCCGGTGTGGACAACCCAGACTACCTGCGGTGAGGCAGCCCGCTGGGCATGCTTGGGGCCTGCGTGTGGGGCCTGCATGTTGGGCCTGCATGTTGGGGGCCCTGCCGGGCCGGCAGCGACCCAGCCGGCAGCCTTCACCTCAAAGCGCCCCGCCTCCCTCCTCCGCCACTCCTGCCCTCAACACGCCCTCCTGCACACGTGGCCAAGCACACGCACATGCACATGCACGCACCCACACGCCCCCCCCCCCCTTACCACCCCACCACCACCACCACCACCACCCCGCAGGTATGTGGCCGAGGGCAGCGGCAACGTGGCGGAGAGCGGCATGTTCTCCATCCAGGTGCTGAGCCGCGCGCTGGAGGTGTGGGGCCTGGCCGCGGTGCCGCTGACCAGCCCAGACATGGAGGCGGCGCGCGCCGACCCCACCACGCAGGCCGCCTTCATTTGCAACCACCAGGTGGGCGGGGTGGGAGGGCGGGCCTGGTGGGAGGGTGGCCCCGCGGCCGCCTGAAGCTCCGTGCGTGGCATGGGGTGGGCGGGATGGGGCGCTGGACGGCGGGCCCAGCCCCGCCAGCCCGGCGAGGTGACAGCAAGCAGGGCCAGTGCCGTTGGCTTGACTCAGATGGAAACAACAACTACAACACCATGCGCGAGTGTATGGCGTGCCCCTCCCTCCCGGCAGGAGCACTGGCTGACCGTGCGCCAGATCCACGGCCAGTGGTGGAACCTGAACAGCGTGTACTCGGCCCCCGAGCCCCTCAGCACCTTCCACCTCTCCGCCTTCCTGGGCTCGCTGCAGCAGGAGGGGTACACGGTGGGTGATGGTGCCTGGGGCAGGCAGGCTGGCATGCGGCGCAGGCAGGCGGGCGACAGCCGGCGGCCCGGCGCCAGCTGCCAGCCGTCGCGCATGAGCTGCATGCCCGGCAGCGCGCGAGCTCTCCCGCAAGTGCAGCCGCTCACCCACGACGCACTGCGCTTGCCTGCCTGGCCTGCCTGGCCCCGCTTGTACCGCAGATATTTGTGATCCAGGGGCAGCTGCCGCCCAGCCAGCCGCCCGACAGCGTGGAGGAGCTGGCGTTGCCGGGGCGGGCGGGGCGCTGGTTCCGTCCCGAGGAGGCGCGGGCCGCCACTAGGGTGAGAGTGTGTGTGTGTGTGTGTGTGTGTGTGTGTGAGAGAGAGAGAGAGAGATGTAAGGGATGGGAGGATTGGTGCTGGTGGACAGGGGCGAGGATTGCTCGGGTGCCACGTGTCAGAGGCCGCACGGTTGTCCCGCCGTTCAGCCGGCCTTGCTGGCCAGCCTGCCCACCCAGTTCCCGAGCCTATGCCCCGCCTACTTCGTCTCGAGCATACTCATCCACGCTTCAACGCCCACTCCTGGCCGCAGGAGCGAGAGCAGCTCAAGGAGCGGGGGTATGCGCAGGCGGCAGCGCAGGGGGTGCTGGGCAAGGCTGCCGGCGGGCAGGGTTCGTGGCTGACGCTGCGGCGGCCGGGCGCCAAGCGGGCTCTGGATGAGGAGGAGGCGGCGGACGGCGCTGCCCACGCTGAGGTGCGGCGGCGCTCCTGGCGGGCGCTCTCTTGTCCCCAGCCACCTGGCTCCACCGGGCACCTGCTGCCAGCCTCGCTGCCTGCATTCACAGCCAGCAACCGAGCACGTGTTGCTCGTGCTCCCCATTGCCCTTGCCAGCAGGGTGATGACCCAGGCCTGGCGCGGGCGCTGGCTGCCAGCCTGGCGCACGGCGACGGCAGCCGGCCGCACAGCCGCAGCTACGGCGGGGCGGCGGGGTCGGCGGCAGCCGCTGACGAGGATGCTGACCTGGCGGCCGCCATCGCTGCCAGCCTGGCAGACCACCAGGGACCGCCGCCGCAGCAGGAGCAGCAGCAGCAGCAGGCGGCCAGCCCGCGCTCGGTGGCGGCGGGGGGCTTGCAGGACGATGAGGATGCTGAGCTGGCGGCCGCCATTGCGGCTTCCATGCAGCCGGCGGGTGAGCAGCAGGGGAAGCAGCAGCAGCAGCAGCAGGAGGAAGCGGCTGCGGCACCTGCCAGCATGCAGCTGCCGGCGCTGCAGGCCGAGCCCGAGGCGGGAGCAGAGGGCTTTGTGGAGGTGGCGCTGCGGCTGCCCGGCGGCCGCGTGAGCCGGCGCTTCCACGGCGGCAGCGACACGGTGGGGCACTTGGCGGCGTTTGCGGCGGCGAGTGGCGCCGACATGGCAGCCTGCCAGCTGGCGCTGCAGTTCCCGCGCCGCCTGCTGGGCGACTGGGAGCAGACCCTGGCGGCGGCAGGCGTGGAGGACAAGCAGCTCGTGGCGGTTGAGCCCAAGAAATGATGAGGCAGCATGCGGCCGCCCCTGTGCCTTCCTATCCGCATACCCTCGTGCGATCTGTGCTCCATCCGCCAGCACTCTGCACCCGCCACATGCCTTAAAATGGCCCGCATATTACGTAATGTGTGGTGACAACTGGCAGCACAAAGGCTGGGTGAATGGGTGCAGGTGCCAGCAGGCGGCTGTCCGGCCGTGAATCGTGTTTTCGGTCTTGGCTTGATTGGGCGGAATGGGTCGGGGGAGGGCGAGGTGAGAGATTGACAAGCGAAGTGGGAAGGAACGCGGTGAAAAATTTAGAAGGTGACACAGGATTGGCAGGTTGGCTGAAATGGCTTCTGAAAGGTGGCCGTCAGTAAAAGGCTAGTTCGTTGTACAAAGGGCCGCATCAAACAATGCCCACAAGGGCTTATGCGTATCCTTCTTCTTCGCAGAAGGAGGAGGGAGGAGGTCTGGCTCACTGCTGCTTCGAGGCAGGCAGGCTGGCCAAGGATGGAAGAGGCGGGCGGGGCGTCTCGAAACATGAGAGAGCGAGGCGAGAAATAATGGGCTGAGGCGGCACGGTCACAGCTGAAGGCCGCCACTGCTGAAGGCCAGTTTTGGAAAGGAGAACAGTCGGCACAATGATGAAGGACAAAAGGTGGGAGGCTTGACGAGTACCCGCCACACACAGGCTGTGGGTGGCACCGGGAAGTTACCTGGGGATGGTAAAAGCTCTGGCTGTGGGCTGCACGCCGCCCCGCTCACTGCGGCAGCAGCAGGCGCTGCAGCGCCTCGAGGTCGATGCTGCCGATGGCGGCGGCCAGGGCACTGCCGCCGACGCCGACGCCGCCCAGGGCGCCGACGCCGCCGCCGCTGGAGCCCAGGCCCAGCTGGCCCAGCAGGCTCAGCAGGGCCTTGGAGTTGGCGGCGGCCTGCGCCTGCCGCGCCTGCTCCAGCCCCTGCGCCGCCGACGTGAGCAGGGCGTGCAGCCCAGCCAGAAGCATGTCGTCCACCTGGGGAGCATGCGTGGCGGTGGAGGCGCCAGACGCCTGCCGCTCCATGGCGGCCCAGCTGGCGACGCCGGCCGGCGCCGCCTGCTGCTGCGGCGCCGCCGGCGGCCACCAGCTCGGCGGCTGCTGCGGCAGCTGCGGCTGCCGCGCCTGCCGGCGCGGCGCCTCCCAGTGGCTGCCGGCCTGCTGGTGCTGCGCCTGCGCCAGCGCGTGCCAGCCGGAGTGCTGCTGCACCTGCGCCGGCGGCGTGTCCACGTTGCTCCACACCGCGCCGAACAGCGCCTGCTGCAGCTCGGGCTGGCTGTTCACAGACGGTTGGTTCTCCAGGGATTCGAGGAGGGCGCCCAGGGTGGGCCCGCGCGGCGCCGGCGGCGCCATCAGGCGCGTCAGCGAGGTCTGCGACTCAGTCTGCTGGTGCTGCTGGTGCTGCTGGTGCTTGAGCAGCAGCTGCTCCAAGGCCTGGTGCGCCGACAGCAGCTGCGGAGCCTCCGCATGCCGCTGCGGCAGTGGCAGGGGCGGCGGCGGCGGCGGCGGCGGCGCGGCCGTGGCCGCCAGCTGCTGCTGCTCGCGCCAGCAGATGTCGGCCAGGGTGAGCGTCTGCGGCGCGTGCTCCCGGCGCACCGGCAGCGGCTGCAGCGGCCGTGGCCGCCCACCCTCCTCGCCAGCCCCGCCCTCTGGCAGCGTCTGGCCGGCGCGCAGCAGCGCCTTCTCGCGCCGCCGCTTGCGCTTCAGGCTGGCGTGGCGCGCCAGCTGCTCCCGGCACGTGCGCATGGTGGCGTCAAAGAAGGAGAGCGGGTGGAAGCGGCCACACTGTTGGGGAGGCAGGGGGGAGGGCTGGCGGGCGGTTAGTTGGGGTGGCGCGGGTGAGGGCTAGGGCTGGGCGAGGGGGCACAGGCGGCGGGCCGGCAGCGGCACCTGCTGGCAGAAGCGCTGCAGCTGGCCGTCTTGCAGCACCGCCTCCGCCAGGGCATCCTTCTCGCACACTCGGTAGCGCTGCAGGAGGGAGGGGAGGGGTGCGGAGAGGGCGACGGTGGGTGCGGGAGCCCCGGCCGTGGGCGGTGGTGCCGTGGGCCCCCCCACGTACCGGCTCCTTAGGGCAGCCGCCTCAAGGCAAGCGGGCGCCCAGGGCACCCGGGCGCCCCCACGCTCCTCCAACACCCAGCTCACACCTTGTAGAAGCGCTTGTGGTTCATCAGGTCCGCCCCGCAGTGCTGGCAGCGCTGGTTGAGCAGCCGGCCGCTGGCGCCGCCAACGTGTGGCCGGCCGGCGTCGGGGGCGGGGGTGGTGGTGGCGGCCCCCGCGGGCCCAGCGTCCAGCGCCGTCCCCTGCGCCGCGTTCTGCTGCGCAAACATGGCCAGAGCCGGCCCTGGTCACTGCCTGGCAAGGCGCACTGGACGCGGTAAGATGCTGGTAAGGCCGGGGAGCTTAGTGCGGTGCCGTGGTCGCCCCGACGGTGGGAGATGGCCCGGGAGGAGCGGAAGGAGTCGTGGATAGACAGGAGCAGGCTGCTGCCGGTCCTGAGGTGGCGTAGCAGTGAGCCAGGTGAACCAGGGGGCCTAACGAGAGACGTCGTCTTTTCGCGGGTTTGGCTGGTGTTTGATCCTCTTAGTGCCAGTGAAGGCCAGTTCAGGGCATGGGCGAGGCTCTGCAACACGTGCCGGTGCCAGCAGGGGTCCAGGGGTGACAGCACCCGCCGCTGCAAGCTTGCTGGCTTGCTGGCACAGATAAACACTCTGTGGTGCACCACGATGTAGCAGACTTCTGTTCACGCCTCTGTCTGGTCCAGGGGGCAGCACCGGGCAGGAAGCTGAGGGCGCCTACGTGAATGATTGGCGGGGTCTGCACGCACGAAGGGGCTCGGGGCACCCTGCGGAAGCCCCGCGCCGCGGGCGGCGCCGCCCATCTCGGGCCTTGCGGTCCACACGCATCGCAAAATGCGACAAAACACACTTGCACAGTCCAGCACAACTGTGGGAGGCCGCGGGCTGCCCAGCGCCAGGCATTGCTAGCCCTGGAGTGGCGGCCCGGCCCTGTTCAGCGGCCCCCCAGTGGCGGCCCTGCTTCCGCCCCCCGCAGCTAGTCCCGCCGCTGCCGTGCCGCTTGTTGTGGGGGCCAGGCAGGAGACGCACACCCAGTGCCACCGGGGACCCCATCACTGTGCCATGAGCCCTTGAATCAGAGCGAGGTTGCGCCGGTGGTGTTCTTGTGGGGCCGCGCCGCGTTCCTGTGGCACCCGGGGGTGCGGGCCGCGCGGCGAGCCGCAACAGGCAGCTTCCTTTCCAGCTGCAGCAGCATTTGCATTGCCTTGGAACAAACAACAAACTCAGAATAGCAATGACCATTCCGAGAGAAACAAAGGATGGGGCAGGGCAGCCAGTTGAGGCGGTGGTCAGCAGGGTGGCACCTGTGGAGCCGCCGCCGAATCCACAGCGATCGCCGCCTCGAGGTGCCGCGGTATGCCGCCCACCTGCGCCCCCAGGTGTTTGGCAGCTGCCTGCATGGCCGACGCAACTGCCAGCAGCACCTGCGGCTGCTCCCGCTGCGCTGCCGCCGTCGCGGTGAGGGGCATGTCTGCAAGACGGCAGATGGGCAGACCGGCCGCGGGCCGCTTGATGGCGGCAGGCCGGCTTCAAAGCGGTGCACCACGCAGCGTGCACTGGACCTCCACAAGCACTCCCGCCCGCCGCCAGCCCAGCCCGGCGTCCGCAGTACCGCCACGGCAGCACGCACCTGACCGCAGGCAGATGGGCGTCACCGCCGCCCAGCCCTGCCCCACAGCCCACGAGTCGCAGCCCTGCGACAGGTCGCCCCGCAGGCTGCCCGCCGCGTTGCGGAAGGCGCGCAGCGTCACCGCGCCCGCATGCCCCTCCCTCACATGCGCGTCAGCCTCCAGCTCCTGCACCGCACGCATGAGCCAGGCAGGCAGGCAGGGGCGCTGTCGGCCAGGCCGGCTCAGGCTGGCAGGCGCCCGCCCGGAGACGGGCAGCAGACCTGCGCCCCCACACCCCACACCACACACAGAGGAAAACAGAGGCGTGGCAAGGCAGGCGCGGCGCCGGTGCCGCCGGTCCACGCTGCCGCGCGTGCGGCCGGCGCGTGCCTGGAAGTCAGGGAAGTGGCAGTGCTGGCCCTGGTGTGCCAGGTACAGGCCCCGGATGTCCGCCAGCCCGCCCTTGGGCACGTTCACGTTCACCACGTGCCCCGCCAGGTGCGAGGCCCCAAACAGGTGGCGCCCCGGCGGCGGCAGCACCCCCAGCACCGCCTTCATCAGCGCCAGGGAGTAGGCGGCGGCCGCCTCGTACTGCTCCTCTGTGCGGGCCAAGTAGTTGTCCAGAGAGACGGCAATGGATGGTACGTCCTGCGGCGGCCCCGGGGGACAGGGGTGGGAGTGCAGCGGCGGCGGGGACAGCGGCAGGGGCGTGTGCTGCTGTGAGGCCGTCGGGCTGCGGCACGGCGCGCTGGGAAATCAGAGCGTGCAGGGTTGGTGCAAAGCGAGGTGCGCTGCAGCCGCCGTCGCCGGCCCGCCGCGTGGCGGGGCGCGGCGGCCGCACCTTGCAGGCCGCCTCGCGCGCCGCGCCCACCGTGCCCGAGTATATCACGTGCAGGCCGCAGTTGTCCCCGCGGTTTATGCCGCTGACAACCAGCTGGAACGTGGGGTTGGCCAGCAGCGGGCCGTAGAGCGCAATCATGACACTGTCGGCTGCGGTGGAGGGGCGGGGGAAGAGAGTTGCGGGAGCGCGCTGGCGAGCGGGCAGCTAACCGGGGCGGCGCATTGCAGCCAGCATGCTGAGGATCAAAGGTCCAGCACACACATGCTCAGGGGCAGGGCTAAAGGGCGACCAGCGGGTGGGCTGACCTGGGGTGCCGTCCACCGCAAATGCCTCCTCCGCGCCCTCGACCTCCAGCTGCCAGGCGTGCAGGTGCTTGCCCACGCTGATGCAGTGGCTCTGCGCAGACCGCTCCCCGGAAGGCGCAGACACTGAAAATGTCGCAAAGCCGTCGCAGTGCAGGGCGGCTGCCAGTGCGAGCAGCCCCGGCGCCGTGATTCCTGCAAGACGCCGCGGCGGCAAGGGGCGGCAGGAGGGGTCGGCGGTCACCGGCCGGCAGTCTCTGGCTGGTCGATCAGGACATACCTGCACCCATTCATCATGCAGGGGGCAGTGGCTGGCAAGCGGTGGCTGGCGGCGATCTTCATGTGCAGGTATGTCCCCTACCGTCGTCGTTGCTGATTAGAATTCGCGGCTTGGTCATCCTGGGTGAATTCTGGATCAGCGCTGCGCAATGGGGAGCGTCTTTGCGGCATGCATTTTGTTGCGTGCTGCGCCTGGCCTCCCGCGTGCTGCGCTTCCTTCTACTCTGCCTGCTGCCTTGTTTCGCTGCCTGAGTACTGCAACTCGTTCCAACCAAACTTGCAGCCATCGAGGCCTCCCGCTGTGCATTCACTCTGAGACAGCCAGCCAGGTCTGCTGCCCTCCACAGCAGGCGCTGAGAGGCTGCTCGGCAGGCGGTTCAAGCTGCCTGCTGCTGTAGGCAGCCGGCATGCTCGGGCTGAGCGGCTGTCGCGGTTCAAACTTGGACTGCTCCGGCCTCGTGGAGGCCACAGCCTCCCTGCTGCAAGGGATGGGCCAGCTGGGGGCGCAGCAAAACGTGCAGCGGGTGCTGAAACTGGTGAGGGGAGCACCTGTCCGGGTGGCCGCCGCCGCGCCTGCCTGTCACGGCCGCTGCAGCCGCAACTCTAGGCTGCCAACCGACCCATGCTGCAGGCTGTAGCATCTGCTCAGAGCCGCGCCAACGCCGATGAAGAGCACTTCGCAACCCGCGCCGTCTGCATCCTGACCGGGCAAGCACTGGGTGGTCCGCAGCCGCCAGCTGCGGCAGCTTGGAACGCCGCTTGGAAAGCACCCTCCCCCCCTGCATGGCCTGCCCACCTTCGACGGGTGCTGTTGCTGCAGGGGCCTGGAGGCGGCGGGTGAGGAGGGCGCTGTCGGAGCGCTCGCCGCCAGCAGCATCCGCGATGCACAGCAGCTGGCGGCACAGCATGCGGGGCAGCTGTCGGCGCTGCGCGCCGTGCAGGCCGCCAGCAGGATCAGCAAGCGAGTGCTGCAAGCCAGGGGGTGAGCCTGCCACCTGCCTGAGATGTGCATTCATGAGCCGCGCAGTCATGCGCACATGCATTGAACTTGCCTGGCAGAGCCAGCCCTGGAGCCCTGCCCATTGCCCGCCGCTCCTGTCGACGGGCAGGACCAGGAGGCTCCACACCATTCGCTCCCCTGTGCCGCGTGCAGGCCTCGCCCAGCGCCTCGCCCCATCGCTGCACCAGTCGAGTGCCTGGACAGCCTGCGCCGCACCGTGGCAGCCACCACAGGCCCCGAGAAGGGTGGCAGCGGCGTCGGCGGCGCCGCCGAGGGCTTGCACCCGGCATCTGCGGCGGCTGCGGCGACAGCTGAGCGCGCCGCAGAGCTGCGGCGGGTGGTGGAGGATGAGCGGGAGGTGGGTGCTGAGCTGGCGACTGACCCTGCAGACTCCTCCACCTGCCGCCTCACGCTGCGCGTGCTGGCCCCGGGCCGCACGCTGGCAGCCCTGGCAACCCAGCTCATCGCGGCGCAGCGGGCTCCCCACATCAAGGCCCGCCTGCACCAGCAGCTGCAAGCAGGGGCCGCCCGGCGCGCAGCCCACGCCCGCCTGCTGTCCTCCCAGCGCGCCCAGCTGCTGGCGGCCGCGCGGTGCACCCCGCTGCCTCACCCGCGAGCCGCCCTGGCTCGTGTTCTGCAAGAGGCTGTGGGCCAGCGCAGGGTGGCCGGCAGGCAGCCGAGGCAGCAGGCGCAGGCTGCTGCCGAGCCGGCAGCAGAGATGCAGCGGCGGCGGCAGCGGCGGCAGCAGCTGGGCGAGGCGGTGCTGGGGCAGCACAAGGAACTGAAGCGAGCGTGGCGGGAGAAGAGGTGGGACCCGGCGGGCTCGGCAAGGCTGCCTGCCCGTGCTGTGTCTCTGCCTGCTCAGCCTTGCCACGCCCTCTCTGCACAGCCGGCTAAGCCGCCAGACCTTTGCCTGCTTCCCAATCCTCCCACGGTGCTCAAGCTCAAGCCTTGCCGGGCAACCCTGCCCCACCCTGCCCTGCCCTGTCCAGGGCGTGGGAGCAGCGCGAGCGCATGGAGGCGCTGAAGTGCAACGATGTGGGGGAGTACATGCGGCTGGTGGCGGCGGGGAGGGGCGCCCGGAACCCCAAGATCCAGCAGCTGCTGAGCCAGGTGGGAGGGCCTAGTGCCGGTGGCGGGCTGGGTGAGCCCTGAAGCCGTCAGATGGGAGGGGCGCATGACTTGGCACACTTGGTGCCGGCTTGACTGGCCCCAGGCGGCACCAGGTTTGAGACAGACACGCCGGGTGTGCTCATCCCGACGCCGCGCCCGCAGACCGACAGCTGCCTGCGCCACCTGGCGGCCCGTCTGCGCTCCGCTGGCGCCAGCGAGGCGCTGCTGGCCGCGGCCGGCGGCGGCAACGGCAGCGGCAGCCCCACCCCCGTGGCCAGCCAGGAGGCGCTCGACGGCGGCGCCGGAGGCGGGGTGGCGGGGCTGGAGCAGAGCCACGAGGCGTGGGGCAAGCTGGCCGGGGCCTTCCAGGCCGATGTGCCGCACACGCCCAAGATGCTCACAGGCGTGCGGCAGCTGCGTATGGGGGTGGTGTGGGGTGGGTGGGTCTGTCCCATGGGCAGCATCACCCCAAGCGCACATCCTGCCTGCTTTCTTGTGGACCAGCCCCAGCAGTGGGCGCTTGTGAGTGAGGAGCAGGGCCGGCAACCCCACCACCAGTGATGCGTTCTCGCCCCCGCTGCAGGCGGCGAGCTGCGGGAGTACCAGCTGGCGGGCCTGCGCTGGATGGTGGGGCTGCACCAGAGCGGCCTGAACGGCATCCTGGCGGACGAAATGGGGCTCGGTGGGCTGGGGACAACGGCCATGACTGCGTATGTTGAGCACTTTGGAAGGGTTTCCGAGGCGGCATGGCTGCTGTGGTGCCCGCTCGCCTCCCTGCGCTGCGCTTCCCAATACCGCGCTCGCCTGCTGCCGCCCCCACCGTGCACGGCGACTGGCAATACAGGCAAGACCATCCAGGTCATCGCCCTGGTGTGCCACCTGGTGGGCGAGCTGGGCGAGCGGCGCCCCGCCCTCATCGCCGTCCCGTCCTCCGTGCTGCCCAACTGGGAGGCGGAGCTGGCGCGGTGGGCCCCGGGCCTGGGGGTGGTGGCATACAAGGGCTCCGCGCAGGCGCGGGAGGAGGTGTGGGAGCGGCGGATGCGGCGGGGGCGGGGCGGCGGGGCCGGGCCGGGCACACACGTGGTGCTCACCACCTACGACTTCCTCATGTCCAAGGCCGACAAGTGAGCTGGGCTGGGGGGTGGCTGGGGAGGCGGTTGGGAGGGGGCTGGGGAGGCGGCTGGGAGGTGGATTTTGAGGGGCTGCCTGCTTCCCGTGCCGGGGAGTGGCTGGTCGGGCATCGTCCTAGTTCGGCTTCTGCCAGCCAGCTGGCCTGCCTACTGTGCTGACCCACCCGCCGCCCCGCACGCCACCTCCTGGCCCGCAGGCCCCGCCTGTCCCGCGTGTCCTGGAGCTACCTGGTGGTCGACGAGGTGAGGCGGTAGTTCCAGCCTGCGCTGCCTCGTGGCGATGTGGCAGCGTAAAGGGCGAGGAGCTGTGTAGGCACTGTTACCTGCCATCCTTTTACTTGAAAGATCCCGCTGCTGGCTGGCTGACTGCCTCGTGGCATGGTTGGGTGCGTGCAGGGGCACCGCCTGAAGAATGCCGACTGCAAGCTCAACGCCGAGCTGCGCTCCTACTCCACGCAGCACCGCCTGCTGCTGACGGGTGCGCGCCGGCTGGGGGGCCACGGCGGCAAGGGTGTCGCCCAGCACCCGCAGATCGGTCTGGGCGACCCAGCATGCCTCCGCTGCCATTCACGCCGTCTCAGCACCTCTGCTCCGCTGTGCGCTGCCCCGCCTCCAACAGGCACCCCTCTCCAGAACAGGCTGGAGGAGCTGTGGAGCCTGCTCAACTTCTTCATGCCCTCCCTCTTCAACTCCGGGGAAGACTTCCAGCAGTGGTGAGCAGCAGGAGCGGCAGACAGGCATGGCGGGGAGGCATGCAAGCGGCAGCTGATGCGGGCGGCAAGCTTGAAGTGCTGTCTTCACTGCATTATTTCAACACCAACCAAATCTTGCTTGCTGCCATCCATCAAATGCGCGGCTCATGCCATCCCCTCGCAGGTTTGGGGGCGCGGAGCGGCAGGGCGGCGGCGGCGGCGGCGGCGAGGGGCTGGATGGCGGCAGCGACGACGAGGGTGCTGAGGCGGCTGAGGCGGCGATGCTGACCGAGGAGGAGGCGCTGATCGTGACCAACCGCCTGCACCAGGTTTGCTTTTGGCAGCATGGCTGCTTGGCTGCTGCCCTGCTTGCCTGCCTGCTGGCTTTGGCAGCAGCCATCCGCAGCGATAGCTGTCCTCTCTTAGCCCACTCTTCTTCTCCTCCCAGCTGTCTGCGTGTGTTTCGTGGTCGCAGGTGCTGCGCCCCTTCATGCTGCGCCGCCTCAAAGAGTCTGTGGCCTCGGAGCTGCCTCAGAAGGTGGAGCACCTGGTGCCAGGTGGGGCCGTGACACGCACAGCACGCACAGCATGGCACGGCGCGTCCCACCCGGCATTGCTTGCAGTGCTGACTGGCGCCTGGCGGCGCCTCTCCGCCTGATCTAACACCTTCCTGCCTTGCGATTTCCCGGTTGCCTGCCGCAGTGCTGCCCAGCCCCTACCAGCAGGCCCTGTTCCGGCTGATGCAGCGGGAGATGCAGGGCACGGGCAGGGGCGGGCTCAAGGGCGTCAACAATGTGCTGATGGAGATGAGGAACATCTGCAACCACCCGCTCATCAGGTGAGGCCCAGCTGGGGGCGGGGCCGGGCTCGTGGCGTGGCCTGCGCTGCGGCAGATGGAGGGGCAGGTGGCGGCGACCCGCCTCAGGCTGCCACCCGCCGCCTGCCTGCCCGCCTGCCTGCCACGCATGCAGCCGGCTGCACCCGGAGGGCAGCGAGGCGGCGCTGCCGCCGCACAGCCTGCCTGCCGAGGTGCGGCTGTGCGGCAAGCTGGAGCTGCTGGATCGCATGCTGGTGAAGCTCAGGGCAGGTGGGCACAAGGTGAGGGCCGCTGCCTTGCTGTGTTTGAGCGCGCAGCAGGGCACCGCCGGCACAGCGGCAGCACCGACGCACAGCATGTGGCTGTGTCTGGAACCAACCCCGGCCCTTGACAGCCAGCCAAGCTGCCCTGCCTGCCACGGCCACACACCCATGCTACATGTGCATCGCCCCGTGCAGGTACTGCTGTTTAGTACCATGACTCGCGCCCTGGATGTGGTGAGCGACTACCTCGGCTGGCGCGGCTTCCGCCACCTGCGCCTGGACGGCGGCACCGCCGCCGGCAAGCGCGGCGAGCTGGTGGAGCGGTTCAACGACCCGGGTGGGCGGCGCGGGGCAGCGCGCACGGCGGGCACAGCGTGGCGCAGCGTGGCGTGGCGAGGGAGTGCAGGCTGGCGCAGGAAGGATGCTGCGTGGGGAGGGGCGCCGCTCTGGCACGTCTCAACGGGGACCGTCCAGCACACAGCCTACCCCTGGCTGCCCTGCGTGCCTGCAGGCGGCGGCGTGTTTGTCTTCCTGCTCAGCATCCGCGCCGGCGGTGTGGGCCTCAACCTGCAGGGTGCCGACACAGTCATCATGTATGACACGGGTGAGGGAGGGTGATTGAGTGATTGAGTGAGTGAGGGAGGGAGGGAGGGAGGGCAGGCAGGGCTGAAGGGGAGAGAGGCGGTGTGTGAGAGAGCCCCCGGGGATTGGGAGCTGGGGTTGAAGGGCCCGCTGCCAGCACGGTGTGCACACCTTACCCCTGCCCTGTGCACCTGCCTCGGCTGTTCCCGCCCCGCCTGCCCGCAGACTGGAACCCCCAGATGGATCTTCAGGCGCAGGCGCGGGCGCACCGCATGGGGCAGACTCGACAGGTGCATGCTGCAGCTGCGCCTTTGGAACCACCTGCGCTGGGCTGCTCACGCTGGCCTCCTCTCCTGCTGCTCCCTGGCTTGCCCTGCATCACTCTACTGCATCACGGTGCCGTCTACCTACCGACGTACCGATGCGCTGCCTATCCCTGTACCGCCGCAGGTGCTGGTGCTGCGCCTCAAGACGGTGGGGACTGTGGAGGAGCGGGTGGTGGGGGTGGCTTCAGACAAGGCCCAGCTGGCAGACAGATCCATCACAGGTGGGCTGTGCCGGCCAGGCGTGCCCGCAATTGTGTGCCTCCAGCGCTGCTGCTGCCGCCTGACCTAGTGCTGGCGCGTGGTCCATGTGTTCTGCCCCTCCCCTGCCTCCTGGCCCACCCCCTGTGCATCCCTGCGCCGCTCTGCTGAGCTTGGGAGCACCACCTCTGGCCCTGGGTGCTGCTTGACTGCCGGCTATCACTCCCGCCGGCATCTGAGCCCTTCTCGCTACCCACCGCTATCATTACCCCCGCCACACACACGCGCACCATCCCCCCACCCCACCCCACCGCTACACGCACACACCCACGCAACCCCAACACGCTCCCCCCTGGCCCCCAGGCGGCTTCTTCGACGGCAAGACCAGCGCCGAGGAGCGGCAGCGCTACCTGCTGGAAACCATCCGCACCTCCACGCAGCAGCAAGGGGCGCTGGGCGCCGGTGGCAGCGGCAGCGGAGAGGATGGAGGCGGCGGCGGCGGCCAGCTCAGCGACGCGCAGCTCAATCGGCTCGTGGCCAGGGGGGAGGAGGAGCTGGAGCTTTTCGAGGCGGAGGACAGGCGCATGCTGGTGTGCATGCAGCGGGGAGGCTGCTCAAGCCGAGAGGGAGGGCCAGCAGCTGAGCACCAAGTTTTGGGGAGGAGCGGTGACAAAAGCATGCCTGCTGCGCAACCGCCTGCCTGGCCGCCTTCTGTGCAGGAAGCGGAGCTGGCGAGCTGGCAGGCGGCTCAGGGCGCAGCGGCTGGTGGCGGCGGCGCAGGCGTTGGAGGGCAGGCGGGGGCGCTGGCCTACCGGCGGCTGGCGTCTGAGGAGGAGGTGGCGCCGCTGGTGCGCCAGGCTGAGGAGTTGATGCAGCCCAAAAAGGACCAGGATGATGGTGCGTGGGGAGGGGCAAGTGGCGGGGAGTCGATCTGGCATGGGGCTGCGGGCAGCAATAGCACTGGTGGTGACCTGCGGGCAGCCGGCCATGACCCCACAGCTGCTCTGCCGGGCACATCAGGCCGGGAGTTTCCGTTTGTGCACCCTCGCCTGCAAAACCGCGCATGGTCTGCTCCCTGCTCCCTTACAGCGCTGCTGCTGTGGCTGCTGCTGGTGTGCAGGCCTTGAGCTGGGGCGCGGCAAGCGGCAGCGTGGTACCGCCGCCTACCGCGACATCAACGAGCGGGACTTCAACAAGCTGTGCCAGGAGGGAGCAGATGTGGGGCAGGCGCCAGTGCCTCTGCTGGCGCCGGCGGCCGCGGCAGCATCCGCGGCACCAGCTGCACCTGGTGCCGGGCAGACGGCCGCCGCTGCCAAGCGGCGCAGAGTGGCAGATCCACGCGCTGCTCCTGCCCCCGCTGCCGCGGGGCAGGCAGCTCGCGGCGCCAGGGCAGCAGCTGCGCAGCCACTGCAAGCCCAGGCAGCAGCCATAGCTCCGCCTGCCATTCCAGTCTCCCGGCCTGTGCCAGCTGTGGTACCCTCTGCCCCTGTGGAAGCAGCAGGAGCAGGGCCCGCCGAGGTAGCAGCAGTGGTGCCAGAGGCTGCGCCCCAGCAGGCTCGGGAGCCAGCCGAGCCAGCCCAGCAGGAGCTGGTCAGCCGCCCGCTTGGCGCCAAAAAGGCGGCAGAGCGTAGGCAGCAGAAGCAGGCTCGGGCTGCACCCACAGGGCCGGGTGAAGCTGCTGCTGAGGCAGAGCCTGAGCCCAAGCGCCGTCGCACCGGCCAGCAGGAGCAGGAGAGGGCCGGAATTGGCAGCAGGGTGGCTGGAGAGGGCCCGGGCAGCAGCGGAGCGCCAGTACACGTGCCACCTGGCGACAGCAGGGCGCCTGTTGAGCCACCTGCTAAGCGCAGCAAGACTGAGCAGGGGGCCAGCGCTACTGGGGTGGCGCCAGCAGATGCGCCAGCCGATGGCCCTGCCGCCAGCAGCCGCAGGCAGTGCAGCAACTGCGGCAGCCTCACCACCTCGGGCAACAAGTGGCGCAAGCATCCAGGCACAGGGGTGAGAGGGGGCAGCAGATGAGCTGCGCAGGTGGTGGCTGTGAACACAGGGTGCTTGCCTCTCAACCTTCAATCCCCTTCTCCTACCATTCCCTGCAGGCCTGCCTGTGCAATCGGTGCGGCTCCGCTCTTTATGACAAGCACAAGCGCAACCGAGTCAGCGCTGAGCCGGCCAAGGACGAGCAGGTAGGCGGGAGGCTGGCAGGAGGCCGCTCGCCACAGCCAGCCGCTTGCCGCCATTCGGCGCTTTCCACACAAGCTGCCTCCGCCCTGGTTGGCCGTCCTCTGCAGGTGGTGGAGGAACGGCGCTGCACGCACTGCCAGGCAACTGAGACGACCATGTGGCGCAGGTGGGGAGCCTGGCGCACGCTGCGCTTTCTACCCGGACGATGTGCTGCTGGCGCCTCACCCAACATGGTTCCCCATCCACCTGCCTGGGACCCCATGCAGGCACCCCGACACCCGCAGCCTGCTCTGCAACAGCTGCGGCCGCTTCGTGCGCAAGCACGGAGAGCTGCCAGCGCTGGAGGGCCAGGAGGGGGCGGCGGCAGCAGAGGCGCTGGCCGAGGCTGTGGCTCTGGCATCAGCAGCAGCAGAGGTGCGCGAAGCAGCAGCGTGCCCTGATGCCGGACCAGCAGCGGCTGTGCCTGCGCTGCCTGCTGAAGCAGCAGCAGCAGCAGCAGCAGCAGCAGCAGCAGCAGCAGCAGCCGAGCTGCCCTTTGCTGTGCCCGGACCGGCAAAGCCAGGCAGCAGGCAGTGCAGCAACTGCGGGAGCCGCAGCAACAAGTGGCGCAAGGATGCGGCCACCGGGGTGAGAGGAGAGCTGCAGGAGCTGCACCGTTGTTTTGCGGGTGGTGCCTGCCTGTCAACCCGCTCCTCCCCTGCCCTGCAGGTCTGCCTGTGCAACCGCTGCCGGGCCTATCTGGCCGAGCACCCTAAACCCACAGGGATGCGGCCACCGAGCAGGCCGCCGCCTCGCTGCTGAGCATGGAGCGCCAGGGGCAGGTGGCTCCACGGGCAAGCTGGGCAGCAAGGCCACGCCACCGCTTTGCTGGCCTGCTGCGTGTGCCTGCTGGCTGCACTGACAACTGGAAGGGCCGGCGCTGAAAGCCATGCTGCCACGGGTGCCGTCACTGTGCAGGCTGGTGCAGGTGGGCAGAGGTGAGCCATGCGGAGTGCCTGGGCGTGGAGGAGCGAGGGGGCAGGACAGCAGGAGGAGGGCCAACCAGTGAAGTGATCAAGCAAACAATGGAAGGGGGGTGACGGCTGTGTGATGAAAGGCTGCTAACGGCTATCGAACTGAATTGCACTTTTAGTTAGTTAGGTAGTTATTGTATCAGTTAGTGCTATTCAATGTTCCCTGTCATTTAACGCTATTCATCCAATTAAAAGCAACATAACCTATTGCACAGGCAGCTCAGGACACGAGGCAAGCACATGGGAACGACCGCTGCCAGCAGCGGGAGCATCTGCAGCATCAGATCCAGGACCCTGCTGGGGACTGTTGCGACGGCTGCCGCCAAAAGCCATCAGCACGCCTGCCGCTGCCGCCAGTGGTGCCTCGGCTGGCCGCCAGCGTGGCGCACTCCCTCTTGTGCCCGCCCGCCTTCTGTATGCCGCATGAATTACTCTGCGGTGCAACAGCCACTACAGTACAGGATGTAAACTTCCTCGTGAGCTGACCAACTGCAGAGCTGCTGGCTGGTTGCATCACCAGCAGTGCTCCCCGCCTCCCATGGGCACGTGCGGGTCCTGGCCGGTCCAGGGAACTGCCGGCAGCTGTGCCTTTGCGGGGAAGGCCGAGGCCAGTGCCTCCACCTCCAGCCAAGCCATCTACATCCCCAGCCTGCTCCTGCTGCTCCCTTGCCCAGCGCTTGCACAGCTGACGGCAGCTGTCGGCGCGGTCCAGCAGGCCCCGCACCTCTGCTAGCGACCCTGCTCTGCCCCCTCCACCATCGGCCACACTTAAGGGCAAGGGCCAGCACGTGGGAGGCCGTGCAGGCACAGAAGTGTGGGGCAGGCAGGCAGGAACCGGCCGGAAGGCAGCGGGTCAAGCTCCGCCAGATGCCACAGGATCTTCCTCTGCTGGTATGGTATGCAGCAGGCAGGCCAAGGCCGCACCCAAGGGGTCGCAGCTCCCAGCTCTGCGGCAGGGGCACCAGCAGCGGGTCACGGAAGCTTCAGCGCTGGCCCCAGGCAGTAGGCCAGGCAGTGCTGGGCCCTCTGCCGGGGCCGGGGCCCACTGCCATCTCCCGAGGGCAGCGCGGAGCCAGAAGGAAACCCAACCCTGCCCGCCGCCGCAGCAGCCTGAAGGTCTGTGGCTGGCGCGCTTGGTAGGCTCAACCGGCGGCGGTGGCATCCATGATCAGCCAGCTGACGACAGGCGGCCTACACCCCACCACAGCGCCTTGCTGATAGGTGGCATCCTGGGTGGATTACACACCCTGAAGGGATCGCAGATGCAGACATGATATCATGAAATGCACTGCGGCTTAGCGAGGGAACATTACGAATTCATGGAAGAGGCATGTACTGGCAGGGAACGACAGATCTGACGGGTGTACAAGAGGGATGCTGTGTACAAGAAAAAAGGGTCGGGGCCCGCCTGAGCCAGGGAGGCGGCAACACCACCGCCACATCATGCCCAGAGGCGCATGCTTAGAGAGCATGCTCAGAAGCGCGGTTGTGGTGCATCATTTACCAGCTGAGCACACACCGGTGGGCAGGACCCAGTCCCGCAAGAGCAGTATGTTGCGCAAGCCGGCCCGCTGTGCTCCTCGAAGCGCTATGGCTCGGTCCCCATTGCTGGCACAACGTTACTGGTTCTTCTTGTGCTTGTCGGCGGCTGCAGGCGGGGCAGCAGGTGGCCAGCAAGCGCTGGCGGTTTCAGCAGTGGTGTGCGTGCATGGTAGGAGCGAGCCCAGGGGCGAGAACCGTCAGTCAATGTGCGTGCAGTGAGTGTACGTTCCATTGCCGTAATGCGTCCAACGCCCAAGGCCCTACCCCCCCAGCTACTCACCCGGGAGCGGCCTCTGGGCCACTCTCGCCGCCGCACGCTGCGCCTCCTGCACCGCTGCTAAGCGCGCCTTCTGCTCCTCGGCAGCGCGCAGCGCTTCTTCATACGCCTTCCTTCGCGCTCTAGCAGCATCAGCTCTAGCTTTTGCTTCGTTGTAGAGCCGCACCGCGTCCTTGAACCTGGCCTCATCGCTCTCACCCTCTGGAGGGGTTGGGCGAGAAAGCATGGCCGGGACAGAAAGCTCAAAGGGGAGTGGACCGCGGTGGGCCCCGTGGGCGGAGTGGGCCCGGAGACCGTGCCCCCTTCGCAGTAGCGGTTGTCGGCGTAACAAGGATTCTGAAACTGCTGCCGCAAAGCCTTTTGGCTCCGCCCCGCTTGGCCAGCTGGACGCAGGTTGGCGCTTCTCATCGCTTTTGCATTTCATCCCCAATCATTCATTTCTGCCGCATCTGCACCTCGAGAGCAGGGCAGGGCGGAGAGGGGCTTCTTCCTCAAGCGGGGGAGCTGGTGGAACCGCAACATTGAGCGCATCATGCGCCAGGCGGGGCTGCGGGTGGACTCGATAAGCCGCTGGCACTTTGGAACCACCTACCACCAGGCTACCTGGTGGTAGCCTGGTGGTAGCGCGGCCAGCGAAAGAAGCCTGAAAGCGCGGAGCAGCTGTCGGTGGCAACGTGCCCGACAGCTGGCGCCGGCGCCCCTGCAACTGTGTTGTTCGAAGCTCCCCCCTTTTGCGGTTGCCATCAGTTGGTTCCTCGCCCCCCCC